CAAGAAGAGTTTTTGGGGCCCCGGGCTGTAGGACAGCCGTCAGCCGTGTTCTATCCGGCACGCGCTCCATTGTGGGTGTGGAAGCAGGGCGGGAGAGGTGCATTTTCTCTGTTTTTTCAGTGCTTTTGGATTCAGCGAGGAAGGTGCAGAGCTGGAGAGCATTGTAGGGATGCACTAGTCAGACACAATTTTTCTTGGGGGTGAGAGGTGGTTTAAGAGACAGTGTTTGGGGATTCCCCATGGGCTGTTTTGGAGCTCACAGCACCTGCATCTGCCTTGCTCACAGAGCCCTCTGGCGGCCCAGGTTTCCCTCAGAAATGTGCAGCGTGTCGTCAGTGATCTAAACGTGGTCTCACATTGCCCTCTAGAGGCCCCTACCTCAGACTGTCCCCAGACACAGAGCTCCCAGTCATACCCGCGGTTTTGCCCCTGCATCTGTAGTGCAAATTCACATCCATTTGGCAGGTCACGTCGTTTTTAGGAAACTCATCTGAAGGGCAGCCTCCTTCGCCTCCTGCAGGCTTGGACTCAGCTTCCTTTAAGGGATGCTCCTGGACTGGGCTCCACATGAAGAGGAGCAGGGGCAGGCCTCGTCTCTCCTTGTCTGAGGAACGCGCTGAGGCGTAGGTGGAGCTAGCGATGTGGGCATTAATCAATGCCCTGAAAACAGATATCAGACAAGATCACAAAGAAAAAAACAGTTTCTTGCCATTTTAACCAGAAAGGACACTCTCTCAATGACTTAACCACCTGCATTCTGCTACAAAGACCTTTTACATCTGCACTTGAAAGGGAATCCTCTGAACTGTCATTCATGTTAAAATTCGACACTTTCCAAAAAGGACTCAACAAACATTTGAACTATCTCACCCATAACCAAGATAGTTTCCCCAATTATCACCTCTAATACCATTAACTCACAAACATCCCACTCTCCCTACCTCTAATATCATCAATTCACAGACACTTACCTTCCTTCCCCCCCACCCCGCATCGCCCTCCTGTTCTGAAATGTGATTTGTCCTTTTCATATGTGTTCATTTTTTTTAATTGTATCCTTTGGTATGTATGGTTGTGACTATTTTCTTCCACTATTTGATCTGAGGAAGTGGGTCTGGCCCACGAAAGCTCATCATCTAATAAACCATCTTGTTAGTCTTTAAAGTGCTACATTGTCTTGCATTTTGCTTCAGCTACCCCAGACTAACACGGCTACATTTCTATCTCTATACGCAGATCAGGTATTTTTTCCCCATATGAAACCATATATGCAATCCATGAAAAGCTCATCATTTCTGATGACTGGGCCTCTGTTTTCTTTGCAAAAACCCCACAATTTTCTACCAATTACTTTTTATAGAAATGCTTTATTGCTGCAGTCAATAATCCTGCATCTCACAGCACAAATAACCAATTACAGTTTAAGAAACTAATAATAATAATAATAATAATAATTCTGCAAGTGGTAATACTGAGAAAAGATGAACATACAGAAAAGGATACAAAACTATACATTTAAGTTACTAGAAATGTACGAAGTAACTAAAAAAAAAAATCTGCAGAATTGTAAAGTGTCCTGTATAAACTATACAACACATGCCAGTGTAAAGTTGATTAACAGTATACAATTACCTATGTACAAACGTTTTATCTAAATACAAGATCACCTGCAATTTTTAACAATTATCTTATACAAAGACTTTCTAGTTTTCGGTTCTTCATTGCAATATACAGATGTTGCAATATTTCAAACTGAACAGTATTCATAATAATAAACCACAAATAAAAGCTCTTATTTAAAAAAATTTGTCTTGCATATCTAGGATAATGCTGTGAAAATCCAGCCAGCAACGTCTTGGCTCTTGGATTTTCCCCTTACTGTATTGGAGTATTAGAGATGGGCCTGCATTGGAACCACAGTTCCAAGCACACCTAAACTAGTGGTGGGAAGGAGAGAAGAGTTCATGTCTGGGGCTGCCCTTCCTGGCTAGGCCCATTCTCTACCAACTAAGAAACTGGATCTCAAAACCCTTTGACTTTAGGAGACTCTGGATCCAGAGCCTACTTTGAACCCAGACCAGGGCAGTTGGGTAAAGGAGTAAAACTCCTGCCCTTTCCTGCAGGGCACTTTTAGTGTTCCCAGCCCTGCATACCCCAAGAGCAGGAGGGAAGAGAGTAGGAGGAGCCAATGGCCCAAGAAAAGGAGCCGAAATGGTGAGCTATTGGGGAGAGAAATGTAAGGAAGGAGATGAGTCTCCTTCACAACCACTATCCAAGGGCTCCTCCAGGAGCGTTACGCAGCCGACTGCCCTTCACGGGCTCAGTCAACTCTTGTGAATTGTCCCCCATCAAGCAACGCCCTGAATCGGAGCTCCAGGAACGTGTGGCTCCGGGCCCGGAGCCAAAGTTTGCAGGCCCATTTCTCCTGAGCAAATCTCACCCCCCTCCCAAAAGGGTCAGTTTAGGAGAATCCTGAGACTTCGGGGTTTAAAACATGAAAATATGATAAAGGTGATCAGCCTTCTTGAACGCACGTTTATAATTCTAACCTAATGTGTCTTTGTGATCCTGCTGGCATATTGCATAGGATGCCACAGGGAGATTTTCCTTGGCATAGCCTGACATTTTCTGGACAGGAGTTAGTAAGATGTTGGTGGGAGGGCTTTCTAGTAGATTGTAATTCAGAGTGTTTCTATTATGCAGAGAGCAATCAGCACAATAGTCTATGGATAATGCTGTCGTCGTTAAATTAAGCATCTGTTCTCTTCAACTCAAATTCTGCACTCACTTGCACCTCTGCAGGCCCATTGACTTCAGTGGGGATGCACAGAAGAAAGAGAAGACTGAATTCTGCCGTAGTTTTGCTGATAATTTGCAAGTTTGTCATGTAAGCTGAGCTTGGAATATGCATTTTGATGGTGAATGGTCATTATCATGAGCCAAATCTAGGGAGAATGACATTACGACTCCTTAGAAACAGGGTGAAAGCCGTGCAGTAGTTGAGATTAGCGGTTGGATGGCTGCAACTGATCCATGGAACTTCCTTAACAAAGGGTGATAAAGTACCATTTAGACTTGCTTATGCCACGAGATGGCACTGTGGTAAAGAAGGAAAATGATGTTTCAGAGGGCTTGGCAGGAAAGCATCAACATGAGACACATCATCTGGATGGGTGAAAAGCAGTAAGATACAAATTAAAGGCCTGATTCTGTGGCCCAGACTCTTAGCAGCAGTCGTACAGATTTCCATGGGACCACACGAGGGTTATTTACACCAGTAATGGTTGAAATGTCAGGCCCTTATTCTGCTTATAAAGAAGAGCTGGGGAAAAGGCCGTGGATGCTGATGGGATGGTTAAGAATCTCATGTGAATTCTCTCTCGGCCTGTTTCAATGAGGAAGTATTTATTTGTAAGACAAGATAGGGAAGGGTCGTCTTTATTATACGCCGGCGGGCACATCCCAAGCAACAGTATCAAACTAAGTCTAGGAATGTTTCTCAAAGGCTCCTGAATCAGATGAAACTGCCACACACAGCACCACCCTGGAGATGACTCTATATGTTAATTGGTAACCCTGGCAGCCTTGCCTGTATAAACATTTAATAAGAACTCGACGAAGGCATGTAAAACCTGGTATTTAACCCACCTGAGTAGATTTGCTGAACCTGTTCACCAAACATAAAAATAGCATGGGATCCGGATTCTGGTGAACAGAACGTGGACACTGACAGGGCGTTGGGAGGGAGGGAGCTCAGAAACGGCCCGAATAATTGCACTTTAGAATGTGGCAGACATGAGCAATCGCTTCTGCATGCGTGAGGAGAGAAGGGCTGCTGCCTAGATGGTGGAAGGGAGGGTTTTCACCTGCCTGTACTGACCCTGCATGGAACGCCATGGCAACTCATCACAGCAACAGACGCCCAAGCCAGTGCAGCTTAAGAGACTGTCCAGAGGCCTGTGATGTTTAAAGCATCCCAAGAACAGGGTGCAGGTTATTAACAAAGACCAAGGTCAGTAGTCTTCACACACACACACACACACACACACACACACACACACACACACACGAAACCAATGGTCGACGTACTCTTAGCTTCCTCCTTCCTTTACCTCAAATCCACAAATTTTTATCAAAAGATCAAGATAGACATGTAATAAATGTCACATTCTAAGAAAAAAATCTTCATATTTGCTCCTCTTCTTTTCCAGGGCCCAGCATTTTCACTGGGCCAACCCTTGCTCGTTGGGAGTTTGCCTGAGATAGGATTGAGCAAACCCTGGATAAAGCTTTGGGATTTGGTCCAATATTTCAAAAGGTCCAGTGCAACTCATAGACTTTAAGGTCAGAAGGGACCATTATGATCATCTAGTCTGACCCTCTGCACAATGCAGGCCACAGAATCTCACCCACCCACTCCTGGAATAATTCTCTCACCTGTATCTCAGATATAACTCCCATTACTGTCAACAAAAACATTCTCATTGATTTTATTTGGAAGTTGGATTGGACCTGAATAGAGCAAGTCAGCGCTTAAACTAGAAATCTCATGCAATACCTTTTAACGATGACTTTTCCACTTCAGTGATGCTGGCACTATGGTCTGGTTTACTGAAGTCCAGACTCTAGACAAACAGCACCCTAAGTTGGCTCCAGTTGTAAGAATAAATCCCTAAGAAAACTCATGTAACTTTCAAACATTTGGACAGCTCTACCCAGCACTCTTCACCCTGACTCCATACGTGTTCCTCTTTCCATCAAGCAGTTCATACAATGAGCCAGTCATAGATTTAAAACAAACCAATTAAAATCACTCGACCCAAGGAATATATAAAAATTTGGGCTTAAAACAGGAAGGCAGCCATGGAGAAACTGGAGACCCTGCAGACACCCTGTGAGTTCTCAACATCCCTCTTCAAGTCATCAAATTCTCGGGTGATACACACACAACACCGCATTAACAGCAGCAAACCAACTACAGCTGTATTAATTTTCCCCCCTCCCGAAGAGCTCACATTTTACCAAAAAGTATGAAAGCCCCTTTGCCAGTAGTTGGAATGATAGGTTACATCAGGGGTACGTGCAGGTCTGTCAACTCTATAGTTGATTTAAAACAACTAAATCCTAAAACCCCCTTAACTGAACCCTGGAACCATTACATATTACAACAAACATTTATACCCCCCCTGCTCTCCATTTACAAGTCACAAGTGCAATAGTCTTTGAAAAAGTTGCTCCTGAAAGAACCCTCCCTCCCCCAAGAAGCAGAGTTTTTAGTGTTATGCTTGAGTGTGTTGGAAACCACATAAGATTTTTATAAGGCAAGAGGTTTCAAATCTAATAGGGTGGAAGTGAATCAAGAGTGAGTATTACAAAGGGATCTTTTGAAATGAGACATTCTTTCAAGTTTCATTCTCATTGGACATGTATATTACAAAATAAAGACTTTTAAAAGTGCCATATGCTTTGTGAGTCCTTTATGTAAAGCATAATCGTATAGCTACTGCCTACGAGAAATGTTAGAGGCAGTGTTAGCAGTAGGTTAGATTCTAGGGCTCCCGTTCCCCTCTCTCAGCTGGTCCTCAATGTCTGAAGCCATCTTCTCATCAAGGCTTGCGTGATCTCACATGGGATAGTTTGGAGGGAGCAGACTTTGAAAAAGAAGCCAACTCTCGAAAGCCGAGGGTGGTTCACATTGGACTTGCCGTATTCTGACACCCCGCCTCTTCCAGTGAAGCCCCCTGTGTCTCTTTGTACAGGCCAGTCTGAGACAAGAAACATCGAGAGGTATAGTACCATGATAACATACTGACACGTGTCAGGGGGATAAAAAACGTTAAAAAAAATTAATCCGCCAGCACTGGGCTGTTAGCCGATTTTAAAAAGGTAGAGCAGTCTGCAGTAAACAATGATGCTTCAGATCTTCAGAAACCAACAGAAACCCACCCGCTCCTGAGCCCCCAAAGATCAGACGTGAAGAATTTCTGCACCACAGTCTTCAGCCTCCGTGTAACGTGAAGAGTTTGTATCTGAATGGTGGACCCCAAGCATCTCTTTGTGTTCAAGATTTGGCTCCATCAGAGCAGGTTTTTCAAAGATACCCTTCTTGCTAGTTTCGGGACAGTTCTGCACGTATATCACTCGGTTATAAGCCTTCAGTCTCTTCCACAGTTGGACGTAGACTTTGCACTGGACATACATGAACAGGAGTCCTCCAGTGAAGCCAATGGCCACAACCACCAGCTTAGTCCAAAATGGCCACTCTAGAATCCCTGGAGGAAAGGAAAGGAAAGAACCACGTTACTGTTAGTTACGCTGCACTTCCAAGGAGCCGCACGGAGTAAGTCACAATCAGAAACTCACATTTTGGCTGAGGATTTGGGTTAAAATCCAGGGCAGGGCCTGTAAGGGATCAAACTGATGTGACCACTCATGGGCTCCTTTATTATTATTAAGCTGCCAGAGACATTGCAGGGCTTTTTACAGACAAGGTAAGTCAGGTGCCTGACTTGCGCAGAGAACAGTCCAATTCTCAAAGTGTGCCGGGTGCAAGCCTGGTAGGCAGTTCTCTTCACAAATACACCGGGTCTCTTTAACGCAAACAGTCCTTGTTTTGCCAACAGCTACCATCTGGTTTCTGAAAGCTTGTCACTTCCAATGAACAGGTCTGTTCCCACTCAACCCCTCTACCCCAAGCCCCTGCTTTAACTGTGAACATCCCACTGGGAGCACAGGGTGTGAGCTGCAGCTTGCAAGCAGTTCAGTCTCTCCTGCCCACTCTGATCACACTACATACGGATGCACGGGCTTTGAGGTTGGAAGGGACCGGCTAGACTGGCTTCAGGCCTAGCACAGGCCAGACCGCTCCACCGAGCGATCCTGACACCCGAACCTGGAGTCAAACTCCAGCATCTCTTTCAGAAAGAGACTCCCCACCTGGATTTAAAGGCAGTAAATGACGGAGAACGTGCCACATCCATTGCTAAGCATTCTGTCACTGTTAACGTGCAGTATTCTCAGTACGCTTATCGGTGTGAATGAGTCCCAGTGACTGTCCAGAACTTTGCTAGCCAGAGAGACCATTAGGACTGGATACCTTAGAATCATAGAGCTGGAAGAGACCTCAGGAGATCATCAAGTCCAGCCCCCTGCCCAAGGCAGGACCATCCCAACTAAATCAACCCAGCCAGGGCTTTGTCAAGCCGAGACTTAAACACCTGTAGGGATGGAGATTCCACCACCTCCCTAGGTAACCCATCCCAGCGCTTCCTCACCCTCTTAGTGAAATAGTTTTTCCTAATATCCCACCTAGACCTCCCCCACTGCAACTTGAGACCATTACTCCTTGTTCTGCCATCCGTCACTACCGAGAACAGCCTCTCTCCATCCTCTTTGGAACCTCCCTTCAGGAAGTTGAAGGCTGCTCTCAAATCCCCCCTCACTCTTCTCTTCTGCAGACTAAACAAACCGAAATCTCTCAGTCTCTCCTCACAGGTCATGTGCTCCAGCCCCCTAATCATTTTGGTCGCCCTCCACTGGACCCTCTCCAGGGCGTCCACATCCCTTCTTTAGTGGGGGTGGGGGCCCCAGAATTGGACACAATATTCCAGATGTGACCTCAACTAATATCCACAACCTTCTCCAGCCTCGGTCCTTTACATACCAAACCTCTCCACTATTAGCTGGCCAGGGGCATTGCAGGAAAGATAATGATACCAGGCTGATCCATTCAGTGTCAAGATCCATCATTAGCCATGTTCTAACAAACCCATGGCCTCCTAGGATGCCTTATTGGCCACTGGGTTGCACACACGTGACCACTCAGAACTGCTGAGCAGTAGCAGGGATAGAGGGATCCCCTGCCAGCTGATTATAGATGAAAACCCATTAGTGGCTAGCAGTATAGGATCTATGCCACACAGCTGAGCCATTCCAATGATGAGATTGTTCATTTCTTCTCAATTCTGAAACTGAATAT